TTGTGAGCTATTGCACCTGTTATTAGAGCATACCAGCGTGTTGAATGTTTGAATGTGAAACGAGTTTGTTGTTTAGAATTTAACTGCAGTAAAAACATTTAAATATTGTCCACCGAGACAAAATAAGTCGCGTCAGAGCGCACAAGAAAGAAACGAGCGTATTCCTTGTTTACTTTCTGTAAAAAGGCCTCGGAGTGTAATTTGTATAAGTGCATTTTCCACTTCAAAATGCAACTCTGCTATTAATCTCCCCGGTTTGAGGAAATCAGATTAGCTAGCTGATAGTCCTCTGCCATTTAATTCACTAAAAAAACTAGTGAAATTGAAACGCGGTGCTCAGAGAGAGCGTCCGAACGCTATTATTACTTTTGGGAGAATTATGAAACCTTGATCAAGTGAAATCATGGTTAAATCCACGCGTGTTTTTGTCTGTATAAATATGTGCTGATATCCGCTGAAGATATAAATGACAGTGAATTAATTGCAGTAAAGCTGTACATTAATTTACCTCACTCTAACGAGTGAGCGTTACACAGCGCTGTAAGATAAGAATCTAAAGAGTGCTTTTTGGTTGTTCAGTGTGGAATGCGCCGCCATTCCCACATGAAGGGCGTAAATTGTAAATGAGACACAGCTTGTGTGTTATTGCAGGATATGTAGTCATAGTAACAGCCGTAACCCGGAAGTTCGAAGGAACCCTTTCCGGAGGTAACTTTCAGCCCGCCAGCGCCATTTTGTTAGCTGTTTGTAAACAATTAGCCAAGCTAAGCTATTAGCATTGAAGGCTAGTGGTTAGCACGTAGCATTTTGTGGTCGCAAAGGCAAAATGTGTTGCAGTGTTTGAAGTGTTAATAATTAATTCCCTTATAAATGAGTTAATTTCTTACAGCACAACTCTGCCTCTTTTTGTTAAATGTCAGTTTTAATGAACAATAATAGCATTATAAAAGTATAAGTACAAAGTATAAGAGGCTTATATAAGAGGAAATTAAACAAAAGCAAACAGTTCAGTCAAACGTATGCTACAAAGTCAGTGCTGTACTACAGTAAAGTTCAAAATAAATATATAAACAGCTTTGTGCTCAGCCAAAACGATATGACCAGGAACAAATAATAGATTCATGAGACCACGAATGCCTGTTAAATATAGCCTACCCAAAATGAATTGTATCTCGTGTTTAATCACTACAGAGACATCAGAGCCAGCGGCAAATGTCAGAAGGACTAGCCGAGCTAAGGCTGCTCTATGCGGATACATGAGCACTGAGCGCACGGTGATTGCCTGGAGCTCCGAAATCGGCATAGCAAATTTTCAATTAGGTGCTATCTTTATAAATAAACCGCAGATTTTGAGTTTTAAGTAATTACGTTCTCGCCTGAAAAACTCTTAAAACTACATTTCATGACACAATAACAGTAATATTTAGAAAATGACACGGGTTTTTGGGCAATGGCATTTCACAAGTCCACAAGAACAGACAAGAACGCATATTGACAAACGGCTATTGTCTGTGTGAAAATATAAAATTATAAAATACACGGTCATATTTTTTTGTGTTTGCGCACTCTGATGTAAATAAGCCCAACACTCATGGACAGCAGAGCGGAACAAGTGAAGAAGAAGCTTTATCCCCTTGTATCATGCAAAAGTGACGATTCTAGTCAACTAATCAACGTTCTGCAGTGAGTTTAGCTCCACCCTTTTGGTACCCTTTGCTGTGGTAGGTACCCCAACGGAAGGGTACCAAAAAAGTGGTAAGGTACGGTTTGCTATTTTGGTACCATTCACAACTTCTGACAGTGGAAACAATAATTACGTACCATACTGTACTGTACCGAACCGTAACGCTCAGTGGAAACGAGCCATTAGAGAGAAAAATGCTTGAATGCAGGAAAATAAATAGCACATTTAAGGGGGCGTTCACACAGGCACTCTGTCCATGCTATTTTTTAATCATTAGTCCATTTTACACATAGATGGACCTGGCCAATAAACACGTTCTGTTCACAGGTACCAAAAAAGTGGTAAGGTACGGTTTGCTATTTTGGTACCATTCACAACTTCTGACAGTGGAAACGGAAATAATTGCGTACCGTACTGTACTGTACCGAATCGTACTGCTCAGTGGAAACGAGCCATAAGTAGCCACTGAATTTATCAGTGACAGTGAATACATTTTTAATATTACAAAATATTTCTATTTCAAATACATGCTGTTGAATTTTCTTTTCCTTAAAAAGATCCTGAAAAAAATGTTATCACGGTTTCCACAAAAATATTAAGCAGCACAGCAGTTTTCAGCATTGCTAATAAAAACAATAAAAAAATGTTTCTTGAGCATCATCAGCATATTAGAATGATTTCAGAAGAATTATGTGACACTGAATACTAGAGTAACGGCTACTGAAAAATTAGCCTTGACACCACAGCGATGAATTACATTTAAAAATATATATATTAAAATAGAAAACAATTATTTTAAATTGCAATTATACGTATATCACAACATTACTGTTTTTACTGCATTAATAGATAAATGTAGCCTTGGTGATAAGAGCCTTTATTTTCACTTAGACTGCCTGCAACAAGTGAGTTCTAAAAGATTAACAATATGGGAATATTATTGCATATAATGCCTTTTTGATATATATTGACATTTGAAACAGCAGACAAAAAACCCTTCCTCATCTCGGAAAACATTCATATTCCTAGTACTAGTTTGAATACAATGTTTGAAACCACACCAAACTTTTCAAAGACACCATGACATTCAAGGACTTTCAGTCTTCATCATTTTTTCATGGGTTTGTTGTTTTGAAGACGAATGAGGGACGGGAGGTTTGTGAATAATAGATGCCCTTGTAAATCCCTGAGGGTCTCTGATAGACATCAATATTATTCAGATTTGTCAAGTATTCTACACTGTTATTGCATGCCTCATGCATTTTTAATAGGCCCCTAATCTCACCGTGTACTACAGAGCAGTTAGGAATGATGTGGGGGATGTGAAGACATTGTGGAGTAGCATGAATGAAGCAAAAAATAGAGAGATTTTCAATTAATTTGCTTAAATACTTTGTGGTCATACTGTACGTCATTTCTAGACTACCATACGCTGATTGTCTATAGTGTAATAATCCAGAGCATGACATCTTTACTATCCAAAGGTCTGTACCAGACCTACAATCTATCCATCCACTACTTTGGTATGTTGTCTGACAGATGACCTTTTACACAGTGTACAAAGTATGGGATGAGAGAGGAAGCATGACAGGTCTAATTCACACTCTTTTGCACAGATGTGCATTTTTCTATCTCATTCGCTCTCCTTTTTCACAGTTGGCTACACCATGAATGATCTGATCTTCGAGTGGCTTTCTGATAGCCCTGTGCAGGTGGCGGATGACTTGACTCTTCCACAATTTTTACTAAAGGAGGAAAAAGATCTTGGCTACTGCACTAAGCACTACAACACAGGTACATGTTTTACTATGACCTTCATGCACATCAAATTATATCTATATATATATATATATAAAAACATATACACTGTGCTATACAGAATTGATTTCAAGGCCCTCTTATGAATTTTTAAATGCATTTAATAGTGTCACCAATACATAAACCTGCAATAAGATTATTAAATATACTCCAGATATAAGTCACAACCAGAGGTACTTAACCAGGTGTAAAAAATGCATTAAAAGTTGCTATGCATAATTACTTACCTATTATGACACTCTTTGTGATCTCCCAGGTGAATTCACCTGCATTGAGGTGAAGTTTCACTTAGAGAGACAAATGGGCTACTATCTCATTCAGATGTACATCCCCAGTCTGCTGATTGTCATCCTGTCTTGGGTGTCTTTCTGGATCAACATGGATGCCGCCCCTGCTCGGGTAGGCTTGGGTATCACCACTGTGCTCACCATGACCACCCAGAGCTCCGGTTCGCGAGCTTCTCTACCCAAGGTAAGATAAGCAAAATGACTCCGCTCCTGTGAAGAAAAAAAAAGAGAAACACTTCAGAAAGTGCAGTTATAAAATAATGAGTGTATTAATGAGACAATCAATAAAAATGAGGAAAAACACATGAGAGCAGAGAGAGGTGGGAATAAGCTTGAAGTGCTATTTGTAAAATTAGCAGGAAAAGGATGAAAGCACAGTTGATTACGTTTCAGAATTCATTCACTAAAAAACTCGTTTTATGAATTATGTTGCAAACGCAATGGCGATTCCTCTTAACAATTCCAATTCCTTAACAGTTCCATAAACAGTTCTTATAACACTTAAATAAGACATACGAAAAAATGCAATTCTTACTGTATTTCCTGACTACTATCAGATCTGATCAGTGAGTGTTTTGAACTTGAGACCCAGATCAGTCTAGTTCATGAACAAATAATTGGTTTTGTAAAGTTGATCAAGTGATTTACTGAAAATGTAATTTTAGCCCTAGTGTAAAAGAGTGGCCAGGATTACTCTTTCAAATTTCACATTTGTTTTTGAAGACAGAAAGATACATATAATTAATTGTAGGACAATTTCCGTTAATAAAGACAGAATTTTCATTTTGGGTGAACTATTCCTTTGAATTAAATAAGACATGTAGATCTAAGAAACATGACAGATTTTAATTATGGTTTTGGGGGTGTTTTCAAAGCAAAGTAAACAAACCTTATGCTGAGAGGGATAAAGCTGAAAAGTAGGCTATAATGCATTACTCCTTAATAGATCATTCACATATTTTCTGAAATCAAACTGTCAAATACATTAATTCTGTAGGTCAGAAGAACTAAAAAATTCATGAATTCTGTAGGTCAGAAGAACTGAAAAAAATGTCTCGTGCCTGGGCGCAGCGCTTTCGCAACAAATGTTAAGTTAACAAAGTTAGACTTTAAAAAAAAAGGCGTTCCAACATTCCGTGACATTCTTTTATATTTCGCGGCACTGCATCTCGCGTTTTTGAATGCGTTCTATATGAACGGTCCCTTGTGAAGTGAAGTGATGCACTTCTTTACCTCAGGAAAAAACCCGCCAATCTTATCAGAAGCAGTCAACGTGCACTTGCACGCAACCAAAGTATGCGCAGAGCACGGTAATGACTAGTGTGGATGAGTCAAGTGAAAAAAGAAATTAAGCATAAATTAATCGTAAATTAAACATAAATTTCAAAATAAACAAATTAATTATTGTAAAATTTGACATACCCCATTTTAAACCAAATGTTTTCAGATGTTTTTTGCCTTTCTACCTGCTTATAAAAGTATGAAATTTGAAATATTAATTTACAATTGAAATAATGTCCACTTCAGATGTTTTAGCACTAAAGACTATGTGCTGTTTTCTGTGAAAAGGCATCAATTGATATCAAATAAAAATCCAAAGTCAACACTGCCTCATTATTCCTAGCAATGCCTTTACTGATTAAAGGCACAATATGTAATTTTTCGCCGCTAGAGGGTGTGTATTCAAAATAAACAAAGAGACAAAGGCGTAGTTTGATGACGCCGTACCTCAGGAAAAAACCCGCCAATCTTATCAGAAGCAGTCAACGTGCACTTGCACGCAACCAAAGTATGCGCAGAGCACGGTAATGACTAGTGTGGATGAGTCAAGTGAAAAAAGAAATTAAGCATAAATTAATCGTAAATTAAACATAAATTTCAAAATAAACAAATTAATTATTGTAAAATTTGACATACCCCATTTTAAACCAAATGTTTTCAGATGTTTTTTGCCTTTCTACCTGCTTATAAAAGTATGAAATTTGAAATATTAATTTACAATTGAAATAATGTCCACTTCAGATGTTTTAGCACTAAAGACTATGTGCTGTTTTCTGTGAAAAGGCATCAATTGATATCAAATAAAAATCCAAAGTCAACACTGCCTCATTATTCCTAGCAATGCCTTTACTGATTAAAGGCACAATATGTAATTTTTCGCCGCTAGAGGGTGTGTATTCAAATAAACAAAGAGACAAAGGCGTAGTTTGATGACGCCGTTCCAACATTCCGTGACATTTTTTTATATTTCGCGGCACTGCATCTCGCGTTTTTGGACGTGTTCTATATGAACGGTCCCTTGTGAAGTGAAGTGATGCACTTCTTTACCTCAGGAAAAAACCCGCCAATCTTATCAGAAGCAGTCAACGTGCACTTGCATGCAACCAAAGTATGCGCAGTGCACGGTAATGACTAGTGTGGATGAGTCAAGTGAAAAAAGAAATTAAGCATAAATGAATCGTAAATTAAACATAAATTTCAAAATAAACAAATTAATTATTGTAAAATTTGACATACCCCGTTTTAAACCAAATGTTTTCAGATGTTTTTTGCCTTTCTACCTGCTTATAAAAGTATGAAATTTGAAATATTCATTTACAATTGAAATAATGTCCACTTCAGATGTTTTAGCACTAAAGACTATGTGCTGTTTTCTGTGAAAAGGCATCAATTGATATCAAATAAAAATCCAAAGTCAACACTGCCTCATTATTCCTAGCAATGCCTTTATTGATTAAAGGCACAATATGTAATTTTTCGCCGCTAGAGGGTGTGTATTCAAAATAAACAAAGAGACAAAGGCGTAGTTTGATGACGCCGTGACTGAGTCCAAAGTCAACAATGCCTCATTATTCCTAGCAATGCCTTTATTGATTAAAGGCACAATATGTAATTTTTCGCCGCTAGAGGGTGTGTATTCAAAATAAACAAAGAGACAAAGGCGTAGTTTGATGACGCCGTGACTGAGTGTGGAATCATGGGAGTTGTCGTCTTCATCCCCACAGCCGATGCAATCCGATGGGACTCGGGCAGAAATCATGTTCATGGATGAGCTAATGATTTATTAACGTAGTAGAATGAAGCAGGGTGAGGCTGAAAGCCGTCGAAGCGAAACAAGGCCGCTGAACGAGCGTGACACATGGCTCGAAAGCAGCGGGGCTTTTATTATGACACAGTCGACCGCTTCCGCTCCTTCCGGTCATGAGTATGTGGGGGGAAAAGCAGCGCTGTTTTATCATACTAGATACATTTGAAAGTTCTGTTATAATGCTACTCTGTGCGGCCATCACCCGACTGAAACATTCTTCGAAACATTTGGGATAATGTAAGTACACAAGTCAGCAAAATATATAACACTGTTCTAGTGGTTTTTGGATATTTTAATAAAAAAAATCTTACATATTGTGCCTTTAACTATTGATATTGGTTTGACCATGTGATTCCCAGGTGTCCTACGTGAAGGCCATTGACATCTGGATGGCCGTTTGTCTGTTGTTTGTGTTTGCTGCATTGCTGGAGTACGCAGCAGTCAACCATTGCTGGAGTACGCAGCAGACAACTTCGTGTCAAGGCAACACAAGGAGTTCATCAGGCTGCGCAAGAAGCAGCGAAGGCAGAGAATAGTAAGTGCGACAAACGCACACACACATAAACGCAAACAAATACAGGCTGTCCTGTCACCCTGGATTACACTTTGACTCGCATCTCTTCTCATTGTTCTCAGCCACATATCCAAACACTGGCAATGGCTGCCGTCACACTAGGCTACAGCTGGCTGTCACATCTCATGTGGGGGAATTCAGATCAGCCTGTTTCCATAGTGAACAGTCCCCTGTGCTGAGCCCACCATTTGTGCCACCTTGTAAAGCCTTGCCACAGCCAATTTCCAAAGGCCAACAACCTGCTTCCTGATCCGAGATCACAGACACTGACTGAAATTCTAAAGAGGCTTCTAAACGAAAAGCTTAGAAAATACCCTCAGGGATTTGGAGAGTAAAATCACTCTGAACACATTAAATGTTAACAGATTTTAAATGTAATTTCTATAAATCCTGAAATTTTGGACTATAATAAAGATCAAAGCCCAACAATCACATTTAAAACTATATTGGCTAAAACAGCTAAGGCACTTTCTGGGCTTGTACAACAGTGTTCGCCGTCCAAGCTCACAGTGCTGGAGATTTACGAGTGTGTTCGTTGGATCTGAATTAATAATGAGAGAAAAATGAGAATAACTCCTATTAAGAATGAGCGAGTTCTCCTCCCGCTCCTGCCTTGGCGATCTAGGCGGCCATTACTCTTCGTCCTATTCTCTCCTGCCAAGAAAGTCTCTGGTCTGAATGATCAATCTGGGTGGTATTGATGCACGAGTCACTGGCTGAGAGAGCTGTTAGGCTGATGGACCAACCACTGGCCAGAATTAATCAATACAACAAATCCTTGGCTTTATCCTGCCTTAATAACACCATAGACAAATTAGCTCAAGAAAACACAAACAGATGGGTGCTGAGAGGATCGTGCCCAGTTCAGGGATGAACAAAACCACATATTTTCAACCAGCTGTGGGTTGCCTGAAAGACTAGTTCACTTATCAGATGTATAATTAGACTGGTTTCAGATTCATGCAATGCCTTTTTTTAGGGGGTGCTAATATAAAAAAAAACATTGTCGTTATATTAGTCATTTTTATTAGTTTTAGTTATTTATAAATATATATACACACACGCAGGTTATATATATATATATATATAGAGAGAGAGAGAGAGAGAGAGAGAGATTAAATAGATTTTTACTTTAGTAATTTTAGAACTCATTTCAAATATTTTTGTTTAAAAGTTTAAGAGTTACATTTAATATTTATATTTTATTTAATCTTTATTTTAATTATCAAGACAATTTTAATAGTTTTACTTTTAGTTAAAAATAATAACACTGCCTGTTGTTGCATTCGAAAACATCTAGTCAGAGCACAATGGAATGGAACAGATTGCAGGGGTCTCAAGATTTGTTTTTACGATGTTAAAACTACTTTTATCTCGACACACATCCTAAAACATAACAAAAAAAGAACAAAATGTGGCGCAGTGGCAAAAGAACTC